CTGCAGAGATTCACGCCTCTCAAGATGGGCTTGCCCAATGGGAAAAGCCGGAATCCCAAGTGGGCGTTTTGAGATCCTGTGGAGTTTATGGCTCTTTGTGTTGAAACATGGTACTTTAGTATCTGAAATTTTGATTGAAAATACTAAAGGTTCTCAGGGCACTAATATATTGCCTACGTACCAACAAATAATATACATTCTTGTTTAGATCATCAGAAGGCGAATTCATAGATACTAAACAAGCTATATGTAAGGTTATCTGAATGAGTGGTTTATCGTAAGCACGAATAAAAATAGTCTATAATACAACAGATTAATACAAAACAGCAATAATACACACAATGGCCTGAAGAAAATGTGTGTTCATTCAAAGAAAAGGTTTTCCTATGAATTAATTAGTAGAACAGTCCATTTCTCCTGTGCATTTGTACCCCTTGTTTCTGGAGAAAGCAGAATGAAAGCCGGCTTGCATTCCACAAGGTTGTAAATGTATCGGGTTACCATGAAACCAGGGTCTTGTTCGGCGTCCTGGGGTGTTACAAAGTATTTGTGAAATCTAGCTAACAAAATATATATTGTGTGTTGGAGTGGTCCAGACGCTACACTGTCCTCAGTAAAATGCGCAGCACACAATAGCAAATTGGGGTTATAATGCTCAGGAACAGAGTTAAAAAATAAATTGCAACCACTGCTTCCTGACATCATCCGCTTTCGGAAGCCCAAGCAAAGACGTTTGGGCACAGAGGTGAAAAAAACAGCATTTCAGGCGGTCGCGCATCGGACGAGAAGTGCAGCATCGCGTCGCGCCACATCTTTAAAATGAAAATACATTATTTTCTATGAGTGTAGACACACCGGCGGCGCCGTTCGGCGTCTGTCTGCGGTGCCCAGCTACGTCGTGTTGTACTTGTAAGAATTGTTCTAGACATGCCGAAAATTTGACGCTACAGCACAACAGCTCTTCTTCGTTTATCTACCGAACATGAATAAAATATGCAAGCAGACACTGTCAAAACGGCACTCATGAAATTAACCGATACCCTCGAAACAACACATGCATGATTTCAATGTCAGCAGTCAGAATAATCCAGTTTAAATGCAAAAAAGTGCCCAATAAGTGATAGGAAAAAGCAAGGTAATTAGCAGGTATTTCACACTCGTTCATGCGCACAACCATGACAGTCAACTCAAAACGGTGTCATTCATTGATACTTAATTATAATCCGACAATTACAAAAATAACAACAACAACAATAATGCGCTTACGTTCGTGTCGCTCTATAATTTTACACAGAACTAGAGGAAGCCTCTTGTTAAGTTCATATTGTAGAACATAATACAGAACTTTGCACAGTCAAAACTAATCAAGTCTCGCGGTTTTCAAGGATTTATCAATCTGGACGTTTAAAAGATAAAAAAGACATGATCGTATAAACCGACATATTTCGTTTCGGTTATGATTAATTCAGATGTGCTCTGATTTCGGAGTTGCAGTGATAGAGCCTTCGTGTCATCTCACTCCACAATAATTCACGTTTTGAGAGTTGAGTCACTCTCCCACTCTTTAACATATTTAGGCATTGTGATTACTTGAATATCCAGTCACACAACATTCAAAATCAGATACGTTATAACTTTTCACGCTAAAAACTGGTCACTCATGAATCATACCGTCTGTCTGCTGAGCCCTCGTGATAATTTACATCAGCACCAGCGCCTCTGCAGTGTGTGTGTGTGTGTGTGTGTGTGTGTAGTAACGTTATGATGACTGATTGGATGCAGTATGATCATACCGTCTGTCTGCTGAGCCCTCGTGATAATTTACATCAGCACCCGCCTCTGCAGTGTGTGTGTGTGTGTGTGTGTGTGTGTAGTAACGTTATGATGACTGATTGGATGCAGTATGCATACTTGGGTTTGTTTTGTTAAACAATTATCCTATGCAATTTATAAAACAATTATCCTATGTAATTTATATGTTTGAAAACCGCCAAACTGACCCCAAACCAGCCCAAATTTTGTCCACCCGCCCAAGCCCATTTTTACCCGCACAATCAAATTCAAAACCGCCCAATCTGGCAACACTGCCAGCAATCTCAGCAGACCGCAGCAGCATATGTGACAGCTAGGGCTGGGAATCGATTCTTTGCACACATTTAAATTCACGAAAATAAACTGAAAGAAAACGAGTCGGTACTGATCATCTGAATTTTAGGATGCAGCCTTCCGTCTGAGAAGCACCGTTCACCTCCCTCATGCTCGCTAAAAGCTGTAATTACGACAGTTGTGAGATAAAAGATTATTTTCATTTTTATATTTTTATTACAATTCGCCTCCCTCATGCTCGCTAAAAGTGATCAGAAGTCTGATTAGTTTCCTGATTCGGATAGATAGTTTTAATGAACCAGTTAAAAACACGTTTCAGAGATTATTTTACGGCGGAACGACAGAATAGATCGTGACGTCATCGAGTGTCTTGATCTTATTACCGTCTAAAATACTGGTCATTTTTTAACTATTTTTAAAACATTTCTATCAGCCAATGATAATTATAAAAGAAAACGTGACGAGCATAGATCAGTGGCCGAGAGCGCATCTGATTGACAGATAAACCACGAGCTCTATCAGTTATTAATGTTCTGGTTATTTTGTTTCAGTGTAGTTTGTTAATATTGTGCAAAGCATACAGTCAAAGTACACTTCATCATTCAGCTGAACTGTGCACATTTATTTTAGACACTTCATGCGATAAACGCATGCCCCTGCTGAGCTGTGTCATGGGCAAAGCAGACAAAATTACAATTTATGTATCGTCTTTTTCTTTTTTTTTCTTACAAATAAAGCTTCATATTATGAGAAGGATACATTCTACGACCTATCCTGCAGTCATCCTGGTGAGATTAGGTTCCTTCAATCTAAAAAAAACAAGAATCGAAAACAACAGTGAGGAATCGATTCTTTGAATCAGGAATCGGACTCGGACTCGGACTCGGACAGCCCTAGTGACAGCAGTTTCAGGGCGGTCTTTTCACTCCCGGTCTGAGACGGCTGGTTTAAAACTGCTGCCACGTATGGCACTGCAGGTCTGCAGCTGTACATATCTCAATACAAGCAGAGTGATATAAATGGAAAAAGTCCCAGAGCTGTTCAAGTCAAAATTGAGGGCCGGAATTAACTTGAATAATGACCGTGAGCTCGAGATTTGCTCACGTGCAATGCTACCTTTGACCTCAGATGCCCTCTGATGAGTTCACACGTGCTCTGCCATTCTTCACACCATCATATCAGAAAGCTATAAATTGCGCCACCTCAGAAAGGATTGAGGTGGGATTGAAATCGATTGCCATTCACTCGCTCAATTACGCTGAACTGGGCTATTGACTATCTCTATCCCGGGTGCAGTGTGAGTGAAGTCTGTCATCTGTTAAATGAGCATGGGGACGTGCAGTTTTGGTTTGTGAGGCTTTTGTTTTTTGTTTGTAAGATTCCAGTGTTCCATTTTTATATATATATATAGTTTTATCACATCAAAAGAAGACAATGAAATAACTATTTAAATCTGAAACAGCCAAATGCTTTTCTAAATTCCTAACATCTAGATCTACAGTCAAGTTCCATTGTGCTCAAATTTGATGCTTCAAAGCTTTTTTTTTTTTTCATGAAGCCTAACTGCAAGTGTTCTTGTGAGTGCAGGGGTGTGAAATCTTAAAGTGAGAGTATTTAAGAAGGTCTATGACAGTGCCACCAAGTGATAAACCAAAGCAAGGCAAAACTCTAACCATGAAACTTGAACCTTGCACTTGCACTTTTGAAGAATAAAAAAGTTGTGATAATTTTGATAATGTTTAAGCTTGAGGGTATAAAATCCTACACGATACCTTTAACAACCCCGCATGGTGCCCCATTGTGCAAACCACTGCCGTGAAACTAAAACCAACTGAGCAGTTCTCAAAACAATTGAATAATAACAACAATAATAAAATGATATCGCAGCTGATTTTGGATTTCTGGAACTTTTTTTTAACCATGAAACTGTGCACATGAACAAACATCATAAAGGATACTGAGAAGTTGGACTGTAAACTTTCTGTGATTTATTTCTCCAGCCTGTGGATCATCACAACACAGGGCTCTCTAACCCACCAATCAGCAGGCCAGACCCTCATTAATTAAACAAAAAAGACAAAAACATAAGACGTCCCTTTGACAAATATAAACACACGCACACTTGTTCACACATCTCTACAGATGATCTTGAGGCCCTGTCCAAATACTTGCAAGATCTTCACCCATCCTCTGCAGTGAAACTGCCCTTTTATTTGCAATCTTGAATCACTTCAGAATCTTTTTTTAGAATCTAGAATGTGCATTTACAGTCCTACAATTTAGAATTTTTCAATTTACAACCTTTATTTTGAATCTTTTGTTTTAGAATCTTGCAATTTAAATTTTTTTTTTGTTCACCGAGACATATAGGCTGCGTTTACACTTGGCATTAACTTGGGGGGGAAGTCGTGGTTAGAGAGTCGGACTCGTAACCCAAAGGTTGCGGGTTCGAGTCTCGTACTGGCAGGGATTGTAGGTGAGGGGAGTGAATATACAGCGCTCTCTCCCTCCTTCAATACCATGACTGAGATGCCCTTGAGCAAGGCACCGAACCCCCAACTGCTCCCCGGGCGCTGCAGCATAAATGGCTTCCCACGGCTCTGGGTGTGTGTTCACGGTGTGTGTGTGTTCACTGCTGTGTGTGTGCACTAAGGATGGGTTAAATGCAGAGCAGTTTCCACAACGGAATATATCCACCTTATTAATAACTGCAGCCTCCTAATTTTTCGGGATTTGTAAAAAAGAAAACCCACCACTTCAGGTCGACTTTGCACCGGGGCCACCCTCTGCAGACGTATTTAAATATCGCGCGGGAAAGACAGATCCGATCGGTTATCCAGATAGAGAAGTCGGTTGATGTTGCCAAGTGTAAACGCGCCGTGTCTTGACTGACTGATGATCCGATCTGCTTGATCGGATCACGGTGATCGCATGTTAATGCCAAGTGTAAACGCAGCCATAGTTTCTATCAAGACTACTGGAAAATCCAGTTAAAAACCGGACTAATGACCAGGACACAAAAGAGTACAGATCATTTATGTATTTGGACAGGGTCAAGATTCCTGATTCCACATGGCAAATCTCAAAACAGAGGAGGTCACTTTCATTTTCATCTTCAACCATCACAGCTCAAATGAAATCTCAGATCACTTGAAAATAAAATCAGAAGAATGAAATGCATGAACCTGAAATGCAGGACAATCTCTTTAGGCTATCAAACTGTTTAAAGACATCTGCTGAAATGTGGCGAGCAGCCTACTTTTACCTTCAGATGCCAAATGTGTTGATGAATTAAAGAAGTTCTACACAGAAGTCAGTAATAATTTTAAAGTGAACGTAAACAAAGAAGGATATCAGACGAAAGTGTTCTTTCTCGTGCATGTACACAGTGAGACCGAGCCCTTGTACTGTTGGATGATATGACAGAAGATGATCCATCTCTTCTCGATCAACCCATGTGCTTATGGGTAAACCATGTCGGCTGGAACCCAAAGGAAGGCAACAATTAAGGGTGAAATTACCATCATATCTTTAAGAGACAGACTTGCTTGTACGTGGCACTCAAAAATGCAGAAACCAAAAAAAGTATCAACCACTGGTTTAAAAAAGTTACATGAGCACTGATGATATGAAAAACGTCCTAGACGATCAGTCATCCTTTTCATTAATTATAAACCTATATGGGGATTGATTGATTATTGGTAGTCCACTGGCTGAGATGAAGATTGACAGACAGGTCAGTGTGTGTCGGTGGCCAGTAGAGGGAGCCCCTGCTTCAAACGGATAGCAAACCACTGTAATGTCCACAGACAGGAGATCCATCCTGATATGTGACACTTGAAATCTCACATGCACACACATCCACTCAGACACACATCAGCCTCTCCTTCATGTGCTAGATACCCTTCATATCTACAAGGCTTGAAAAATACTTAAATTAAGAAAAAGGGTGAAACTCCTGTGGAAAACACTGTGACTCACACATTCCTGTCTCTCTCACACACACACACACACTGATACTCTAAAAGGGAGGCGTTCTCGTAAACATAACCAAAATGCCCGCAGCTCCTCGAACGAGGAGGATAACGGCATCAAACTCAAGTTTCTTTCTCCATGAGTCTTTCTCTCCATCATTCGTTCTTTTCCTCTGCAAGGTGGAGTGATGGGAAGATTCATATACATATGCGGTTCTGTTCTTTGAGATCATTTGAAGGCAGACCGCCAGGATTGAGAGGAAAGCAGTCCTTTCTCTCACATTCTCTCCATCAGTGATGGTGTGAGAGTCTGTCCATCTGTCTGTCTGTGTGCGAGCTCAGAACATCTCGGGCAGTGTGACGTTGCGGAGCAGCCACTGCTGCGAGCGGCTCCCGGTGCAGTCCCTGACGCTGGGCACCTGACTGTCATCTTCGGACGCCTTATCCAAACACTGATTACTGTTCACATGCACCAGGCTCAGCTTCTGCAGGAAGATAGACATGTGTGAGACATCAGTGCAAAATCACTTGTTGTTGAGAATGGAATTGTTGCTATACAGTATATTGCTATATAACACTGATCTCACTATGCTGCATGTTTAATTCCAATTATTATCACCCAGCAGTTGTCACAAAAATGCACATATGTTGATTATGTATATATACTTTAAAACACAAAAAAATGGTAATATATTAATAAATATTTTTACATTTCAAAAATTGTATTTATTTATTTACTTACTTGCCATTTTTACAAATTAAACAGGGCATTAACATAAGGAGGTTTTTGGAGATTTTGTCAGGTTTAGCTCACTTTGGGTACAAATCTGTCCCCAAAATTATGGTTAAGTAGGTTCAAGCACGCACACACACACAAACAGTTGTATTATGATAGATATACGAATAATGTTTGATGAAGATGTTTGTTTGCTTGTACCTACTTAACAATAATTTTGGGGACAGATATATATATATATATATTAATTCACCCATCTATATATATCTTCAGGATCACTGGAAACTTCCAGGCAGGTTGGAGCTAAACTCTACAGGAAAGTGACCCTCCAGGGGCAGGATTGAACACCCCTGGTCTACTCTAATTATAGACAACTTAGTCTTAAACAGCTAATCAAGGTTTTCAGGATTACTGGAAACATCTAGGCAGGTTGGAGCAAAACTCTGCAGGAAGGTGACCCTCCAGGAGCAGGATTGGACAGAATTGAATCGGGGGCTTGTCCGGGACAAAACAACATTCAAAACAAATTAAGCACTATCAACAACATCTGGGGCATGTTCTTAATTACCACAAGCAACTATTTTCACTTGTCAGTTTGTAAAAACAAACATTTACAATATTTGACTTTCAGTGTAAGTCTAGGGGGAAGGTACTAAAGAACAGAATAAAAGCGTAAACTTTAAAAAATTAATTCTTCTGTACAATCAATACAAAAATGTGTATCTCAACAGTAAAGTTGTCAAAATCTGTCCTTTTAACAACCCTTTTAGGTATCTTTATGCTAATCAAGCAAGGCCAGGGGTAGCCAACCCTGCTCCTGGACCAGGGGTAGCCTATCCTGCAGAAATTACCTCCAATCCTAATCCTAATCAAACGCAACTGAACCAGCTAATTAAGGTCTTCAGGATTACTTGGCAGAAAGCCCTCCAGGAGCATGTAACTTTGGATGTAACTTTACACAGACAATGTTAGTAAGCAATTCTAGTCTCATGTGATTACGTATTGTGGCTATACTTTCAAAATGTGTATTTCAACATTTATCCTGGTGTAATGCCTTGCCCCATAGAATAGTAAGAACATTACTGTAAATGAGATTTCGTGATCTGTTTCACATTTATACACACACCACAGGGTCAAATTCCCAGAGCTGGTTGCCTTTCAAGTGATGGCACTTGAGCATCATAACTGGCTTGTCAGTTTGTAAAAACAAACCTTTACAATATTTGACTTTCAGTGTAAGTCTAGGGGGAAGGTACTAAAGAACAGAATAAAAGCGTAAACTTTAAAAAATTAACTCAATACAAAAATGTGTATCTCAACAGTAAAGTTGTCAAAATCTGTCCTTTTAACAACCCTTTTAGGTATCTTTATGCTCATCAAGCAAGGCCAGGGGTAGCCAACCCTGCTCCTGGACCAGGGGTAGCCAACCCTGCTCCTGGAGGACCACTATCCTGCAGAAATTACCTCCAATCCTAATCAAACGCAACTGAACCAGCTAATTAAGGTCTTCAGGATTACTTGGCAGAAAGCCCTCCAGGAGCATGTAACTTTGGATGTAACTTTACACAGACAATGTTAGTAAGCAATTCTAGTCTCATGTGATCACGTATTGTGGCTATACTTTCAAAATGTGTATTTCAACATTTATCCTGGTGTAATGCCTTGAGAATTGCAAAAAGCAATCTTTCTCTTTCCACCCCTTGGCTAATTCACTCTCCCTAGGCCTGAAGGTGCGTTTAAGTTGTAAACTAAAATTATGTATTTTCAAGATTGACAGAGAAGTGATTTAATGTAACTAAACTAGCATCCCTTCAAAAGTGTTTATAAGGGAAACCACGGGGTGTTTGTTTATGCACGTACATTACAAGAAAGGGATGAGTGGGCACCCTGCAGACAGACAGCTTTAAAGGGTTAGCTGGCTGTCTTTGATGTTATATGACATATATGAGGCCAACAAGACCCTAGAGGTGAAAATCAAGAGTCAAAAGGGCCTCTGCATACATGCATGCATAAGAGAATAGTCAAGGAACAATTCATGAGCAAAATGATGGTTTGGCACATTGTTTTACATGTTGCACCACCTTTGTCATCACCAAGAAGTCATTAAGTCATAATTTTCTTTCATAATTGTAATGCTTCACCCTGATACCACTTGACATCATCTTGAGATCTTCTTGAGGACCACCTTCGTGCTGGGTTTAGCTCTTACTCCAGGGGTGTCCAATCCTGCTCCTGAAGGGCCACCATCCAAGAGTTTAGCTCTGTCCCGAATTAAACACACTTGAACCAGGTAATCAAGGTCTTCAGGATCACTGGAAACTTCCAGGCAGGTTGGAGCTAAACTCTACAGGAAAGTGACCCTCCAGGGGCAGGATTGAACACCCCTGGTCTACTCTAATTATAGACAACTTAGTCTTAAACAGCTAATCAAGGTTTTCAGGATTACTGGAAACATCTAGGCAGGTTGGAGCAAAACTCTGCAGGAAGGTGACCCTCCAGGAGCAGGATTGGACAGAATTGAATCGGGGGCTTGTCCGGGACAAAACAACATTCAAAACAAATTAAGCACTATCAACAACATCTGGGGCATGTTCTTAATTACCACAAGCAACTATTTTCGCTTGTCAGTTTGTAAAAACAAACCTTTACAATATTTGACTTTCAGTGTAAGTCTAGGGGGAAGGTACTAAAGAACAGAATAAAAGCGTAAACTTTAAAAAATTAACTCAATACAAAAATGTGTATCTCAACAGTAAAGTTGTCAAAATCTGTCCTTTTAACAACCCTTTTAGGTATCTTTATGCTCATCAAGCAAGGCCAGGGGTAGCCAACCCTGCTCCTGGACCAGGGGTAGCCTATCCTGCAGAAATTACCTCCAATCCTAATCCTAATCAAACGCAACTGAACCAGCTAATTAAGGTCTTCAGGATTACTTGGCAGAAAGCCCTCCAGGAGCATGTAACTTTGGATGTAACTTTACACAGACAATGTTAGTAAGCAATTCTAGTCTCATGTGATTACGTATTGTGGCTATACTTTCAAAATGTGTATTTCAACATTTATCCTGGTGTAATGCCTTGCCCCATAGAATAGTAAGAACATTACTGTAAATGAGATTTCGTGATCTGTTTCACATTTATACACACACCACAGGGTCAAATTCCCAGAGCTGGTTGCCTTTCAAGTGATGGCACTTGAGCATCATAACTGGACCGTTGAGTTTGGACACATCCAAACAGAGGTCATCAGTCCGGATCTCTTTATTGGCTGTGTACGAGAAAACCTGAGTGGGCGGAAAAGGTCACAATACATCAGTGTCGTACATGTCAAGCATTGAGAGACGACTGTGCCAATCAAACACACAAACACATACATACACAAACACGTAAATGCGTACTTGATAAAAGACAACAGACTGCTTTCATCCAAAACACTAAGTTTCACAAACGTCAGATCAGCAGGGCTTAAACCATGACAAACACATTTAACAGCTTCACTGCTATTATATGTAGCCAGTGTTTCATACAAATGCTGATTTAATACGTGCCTGTTATGTTTTACAAAGCAGACAGTCCAATAGTTTTTTCCATTGTAATAATTGTAATGCACGGCTCCTCATAGGGTTGGGTATTTCCAAAGACTTTCCAATTATTTAGATTCAAAATGACTGCAATTCAGATTCAACAGCTCTCAATTGGTTTAGATTCAGATTTTGATTCAATCTGATTTGATTATGATTCAGTAGGTTATTTTCACTTATAATGTCAATTTGGTTGATAATTTTCTCTCTGCTAATGTTTATTCACACGGTTAACTCTTCTGCAAAAATATTAAATAAAAAAATAAACAAGAGGGCCCAAACTATGAAGTTGAGTGAGTTAGTTCAGTAAATTCAATGACAGGAATCACCGCTCTAATACATTTTCCATCGGATACAAAAATAGGCATGGAGTAAAATATCAATATTGAGATTTTACCCAGCCTGCTCACTACTTACTGCTTTATCTTATTGTCCTAGCTCTTCAACCTTTTCATGCACTACTGTTCAAAAGTCAGTAAGATTTTTTGTTAAAAGAAATGAATACTTTTATTTAGCAAGGACGCATTACATTGATCAAAAGAGACAGTAGTCTTTTACACTGTTACAAAAAAATCTATTTCAAATTAATTCTGTTCTTTTGAACATTCCATTGATCAAAGAACCTTGAAAAAATCATCACGGTTTCTACAAAAATATTACACAGCCCACTTGTTTTCAACATTGATAAATGTTTCTTGAGCACCAAATCAGCATATTAGAATGATTTCTGAAGGATCATGTGACACTGAAGACTGGAGTAATTTTAAAATACATTAAAATAGAATACATTTTTAAAATTGTAATAATATTTTAGAACATTCGTGCTTTTACTGTACTGTATTTCTGATTAAATAAAACCCAAACTTTTTAGTGTTTACACATGGAATATTGTTGTGACGTCTTATCCTCCATGAATTATTCTGTCTGTGTCCTACCTTATACCTTACAATGTCACCATCAGTGGCAAGGAGAGACAAAGATGAGCTAAAGTGAATGAACCATAGACAGCACAAGGAAGATAGATCCTTAACCAGTAAGGAGAACAGACAGACTCCGTTCTGAGCGAGTTTCAGACATCAGAGATGACACGCATGTTTTATTCATTAGAATGTCTGAAAAAGAGAGGCAGCGATGGACAGATGGAACGAAAGGGTGAGAGACGGAACAGGAAACAAGACGATGACAGGGAGAGCAGACTAGGAGAGAATAAATGTCCCTCATTTCCTGAACACAGTGACTGGAACGAAAAAACAAACAAACAATCAATTCCTGTGACACAGTCAACCCCGAGAAAAAGAGTGTCCCTCGCTAATTCACACCTGCGCTTCTTTAACACACACACACACACACAGAAATGCGTTTATCACACTATGCAGTGATTTCCCTTTTTTGCTATCCGCATGTGTGTGTGAGAGAGAGATAGAGAGAGATACAGACCTCTCCCAGCGAGTAGTAGTGGCGTGGTATCTGGGAGTCTGGGTAGACATTTTCTAGGTACCAGGAGAACGGCTTACACTGCAGTCTCTGTCTCAGGGATGTTCTGGATGAGATCTCTCCATAATCCACTTTCGTCACACCTGAAACAAACAAACACACACGAGAATGCAAAATGGTTAATAAACTTTAACATTTTGTTTTTCTAGGGTGCTGTGAGTGGTTAAGATGCTAAGGTGTTCTGTGCTATGCAGTGCTCCAGGTTGCTAAGGCTTCACTAAGTGGGTTGTACGGTGTTTGGAGTGGTTGATAAGTGGCACTATTAATTTTGTCAACAAAATTACTGTCAATTATGTATTTTAATGATTTTTAATTTTTATTTTGTCAATGATAATAAAGACAAAGTGGAAAAAGTATTGTTATTAACTAAAACAAACTATTAAAATCACTTTTGTTAAATGAAATAAAGCTGAAATAAACTAAGTTGTAAATATTACATGAGAACTTGGAGCAAAGAACTTAAATGAAAATTTGAAATGTTGCCATGGCAGCTAACTATTAAATAAGTTTAATTTGAAATACTAGCATTACTAAAATAAAGCTAAATAGAAATATTTAAACAACTAAAACTAGTACATTTCAAAAATACTAAACCTTTAACATTAAAATGAAAACTGAAAGTATATCAAAGTAAAAACATAATTCAAAATATTATAAATCAGATGTATAAATACTATTACAGTATATAAATAACACAATAAAACAGGGTGAAAGACGTGCATCATAATATTTATTGAATCTTTGAAGATTTGGTTTCATGTTGAACTTCATCAGTGTTATTTTTCATCCACTAAAATACATAGTAAAATTGTGAGATTGAAATGTTCACTATTTTGTAAAGATTATTTTCTTCAAAAGAGAAAACAACTGTGTACTGTGCTGGATATGGTTTAGAGCTGCACTTCAGTGTAACTGTTTTATTGTTCCCCAGACAAAACATTGTAAGTCTGATCGCTTAGAAATGTAATAAAACACTTCTCCTCCACAAGCGTCATGACTTGAGGTATCATTCATGTTTGTAGCACAAATGCTAAAGGACAAGTTACAGGATGAAGTTTGATACTGAAGGTCAGGGTTTTGTTCAAACGCTTGCTTTCCAGCCCTAACAATAAGGAGAGAGTACACAAAGGCATTTGTGTAGAGGAGGGAAAGAATAACACAATACGCACAGTCACACAGATAGCTCTGAGCGGCATGGAACACTATTGACAGTGACATTAATATCTATTATCCAACATCTCCTTCAATACGGCTCGAGTTTCCACAAGCGCTGATAATACGCACACACACCACATTAAAGAGCCAGACACAGAGACAGAAAGACACCAAGACAGAGAAAGGCAAAGAGACATGACTGGGAGAAGATAAGGAAATGAAACGTAATTTCAAAAACTCATTATTGTGTCCTACTATATTCTTGAGCTATGCGTGATTCCACAAACATGTATTGCATGTTTTGTTTGGGCAAAATGAGTCAAAATGCAATTCATAACCTAAAACAAGTATGTGTTATGCATGAAGTATGATTACACTGTACATTATATATTGTATTATCAATTGCATATTATATATTGTCAATGATATATTATGTATTATATTACATTATAATTATATATAATGTATACTGTTTATCATATAATAAATACTGTAAATTATATATTTATATATGTATATGTTGTATGTCTATATTGTTTGTGTGTATATATTGTATTTACAGTAACTATGTCACTACTTGAGTTATGTACTCCTCTATGTAAACTGAAATTGTGTGTACCGTTTGTGTTTCTGTATTTGCAAACTTCACTGTGTATCTGTTTATGGTGAAGATGTGTAGTATGTAAATGTGACTGACCAGGTGAAATGATGTAGAAGAAGTTCTTGAACTCATCCATCCAGACCTCTGCCAGCCGTCGGTTGTTTTTGTTGATGATCTGCCCAGTTCCACCGGGGAACGTGTACGGCGTCGCCTTACGGAACACGTGACCGACGTGAGAACATGTGACAATCTCAAGCGTCCCCCCGCATTGCCAAATCTGATAAACAAGGATAAATATTAGTTCTCAGAGCATGAACAAATCGTCAGTAACTTTATATGCACTATATATGCTCAAGTGAAATTGTGGAAAGGACTGCAGTTGTGGTTGAATATTATAATATCGGTGTTGAGACTGACCCTGAAGGAGATCTCCAGGTTCTCTCCCCCCCAGATGTCCATGCCTGCATCATATGTGCCAATCTCCTGGAAATAATCTCTGTCTATGGAGAAGAGACCACCTGCCATAGTGGGGGTCCTGATATTTGATGCAAAAACAAAAAACACACACAGAGTTTAACTGTAAAACATGCCCTTTAGGGGAACGATCATATCTTATAAAAGCAGCTCTTCCTCTCCTGTTCACTCTGTTACAAACAAGCAAGTTGCGTGTCACTCAGGGGAACGAGATCTTAAATAGAAGTGACATGTTTACATGCGCCAATTTTGGCAACAACATATCCTCCTTTAAATATCTTTCACTCGTGTTCGTCCATTTCCCTCAGCAGGCGCTCTCTGTTCTTTCCTGTTTTCCTTCCATCCGTCCCCTGCAGCACGTCTCATTCACAGTCATGTTTTCCTCAAGTAAGAACCTGTTGTTGTTATGCAGAGTACCAGGCTCTGAAGTAAAAAGGAGATGAAGTAAACGAGGGGTAGTGAGGGGAAAAAATACAAAAATAAAGAGTGGAGTGGCATCAGAGCGTTCTGATAAAAACAATGTGCTGCTCTGAAAAACACAGGATCTGTGAAGAAACCAAGCACAAGAAGGCTAAGAGCTACTTTGTTCCCGTAGTTATGAGGTGAGCAGGTAAACACTCTCCTCTCGGCAAAGTGCTGGTGTGGATTAAAACTCCCCTCATCTTTGTGTTAACTGCAGTGTTTAGCTGCAGGGCTGGAGAAACACTTTCATATTGTGTAGCTTTAAGTTGCATGTAAAATACCTTTTAGAAAGGAAAAAAACATTTACATTTAAAAGGCCTTTACAAACTGGAGTCATTGCCTAGTAGTTAACACACATCCTCTGATTCATTGTGTGGTGGTTGCTCATGAAGGCAATTTGAGTTCAAATCTGTCTTGTGACATTTCTACTTCTTCTCACTTACTGTTTACAGTCCTATCTCTTACATTAAAAGGCAGAGAAATTAAGTATCTGAAGAGAAGTTGTGTTCGAAATGGAATACTGATGTACTGTACACACAGTGCCTATAGCACTACTTTGTTCAATAATCGTATGTGGAAACTGATCATACGTGACAATAAAGATACATTACAAGAGTAATACTAATTACAGTACAACAATACATTTATAACAGTAGTAGCACACTGCTGTCACATCCTGAAAAATACATTATATGTAAAAAGGAGATTAAAGTAGTATCTGATGCTCACCAAGCTTGCATTAATTTGATCAAAAATACAGCAAGAACAGTAATATGGTGAAATATTATTAAAGTTTAAAATATAAAAACAAATGATCCCTTTCAGCAGGTCACTTTGATGTTGTGTCGAAGTTCCGACACTAGGGGTCGCACTTGGGGGCCCAGACACCTCTGACAACATTGAGAAAAGGCCAATGAATTTGGTGAGCAAAATTTGCATAGCTGGCCACGCCCTGGACATCCGGGTATAAATAGGCCAGTGTGGCATTTGCTCACTCGTTCTGTTCTTCTGACCTGATGCAGCATCTCTCTGGGAGCAGCACTGCATTCACCTCTCAATCTCCTCGTCGTTGGATCTATGGCACGATGATGTGCACTGAAGGAAACCAAGGAGATGTTGCGGGAACGGTTCAGCCAGATGAATTCCCGTGGACCTCTCGTTCCTCCAACTACAAGTGTTTTCCAGTAGAGTTTCTGAGAGAGTTTGAGAGCCCGCCACAGCGCAGGATCTCTCATTGGGGGCTCGCGATGAAGATGAGTTGTCTATCACAGCATCGGAGGGTGGGTCTGACCGATCGGAAGCGGATGACTCGACTAAACCGGCACTTCCGGGTGCTGTGCATTGGTTTGAGCCTGACGCTGAGATGGCAGCAGTGCTTACCCGGGCAGTAGAGAGCATCAGGCTTGAGTGGAATCTTCTTCCCTGTCCGGAGCGCTCTCGCTTGAATGATGGGTTCTTGGAGACAGAGCGCGACACTGAGCTGTGCTCCGCCACAGTTTCTTTCTTCCCGGAGGTGCACGAGGAGCTGATGAAATCATGGAAGGCACCTTTCTGCCATAAAACGATGCACTGGTTCCTCCGCTCTCACCACCCTTGACAGCGGTCCAGCGAGGGAATACACGGGAAGGGTTCCCTGGGTGGAGAGTGTGATTGTGGTGCATTTTGCGTGCAAAACGCCGCCACCTGGAGTGGCCGTCCAGGATTCTTGTCCAGAGCATATAAGTTACCTCATCCCTTGCGGTGAGAGCTTGTACTGCTTATGGACAAGCTGTGTCTGCTCTGTATACCATGGCTGTCCTGCAGGTGTTCAGGCCAGGGTCTGCACAAGGGTGGTCCCAACCCAGAGCATGCAGGAACTGCATTCAGCGACTGACTTTGCCCTCCGGGCTATGAAGGTCACGGCACATGATCTGGGGAGGGCGATGTCCACATTTGTGGTCCAGGAGCGCCACCTATGGCTCAACCTGGTAGAGATGCAGGATGCTGAGAAAGTGCACTTTCTCGACGCCCCCATTTCTCAGGTTGGTCTCTTGGTGACACCGTTGAAGAATTTGCGCAGCAATTCTCCACGGTTAAGAAACGGAGGCCTGCCTCGTCAGGTTCTACCACTGCACCCCGAAGCAGCAGCTTCCATCTGTTCATCGCCAGGGATGGCCCCTGCGAGGACTGCTGAGGCCCTGCAACAGCCTGGGCCGGCAGTCAAGCCTGAACAGCGGCCAGTCACTCGCAGGAAGGTGGCACTGCCAGCCCGTCCTCAGGATGCTAGGAACCCATGAAAGGCCTTGTAGCGAACCTTAGATGTACCCAAGGGTGGGGGTCTCAAACCAATCTTAGACCTAAGAGTGCTGAGCCAGGCGCCAAGATCGGTTTGCAGAAATAGACCTGAAGGACACGTGCTTTCACGTCTCGATCCTTCCAAAACTCAGACTTCGGTCTTTGAAGGACAGGCTTATTAGTACAAAGTTCTTCACTTCAGGCTGTCCCTGTCTCCTCGCGTCTTCACGAAAGTCGTGAAGGCTGCCCTTGCCCCTCTTATGGAAGTGGGCATTCGCATTCTCATTCTCGATGTCTGGCTTATTCAACGTTACAACTAGGACTTCTCAACTGTCATTTTTAGTATAGGGACCCCTACTGTCGGAAATTTGACAATGTCAAAGTGACCAACTGAAAGGAAACATCTCAGTTACGTATGGTAACCCTCATTCCCTGATGAAGGGAACGGAGAATTTGTGTTACTTATATTACAATTCTGAACTGCTTCTGAGTTCAGGTCATCTTTGCTGAATAAAAAAAAAAATCCAATTATAAAAAAATCAAACAGAATTTTAATTTTTAGGAGAACTATCCCTTTAAGACTAGTATGGTAGTTAATTCCATGGACATTTGACTTTAGATTGGACACGGTAAGGTTTGTCATAGCTATTTAATCCTGATTCTCTTGTCTGACTGCATGATAAGCATTTCAGTTTGTTACCTGACAGGCAGCGTTCTGTCTCCTTTCCTGCGATCCATCTCTCTCTGTGGTACCGGATACCAGCGGAAGTTCAGCTTCCAGTTGAACCCACCATATGTCATATCAGAGCCTGCCATGTACTCAAACGTGTCATCGCTGATCACATCAATGATGGGACACACTACAGTTTTCCTGTGAAAACACATACACACAAATTATATTAGCAGTGCACTTTCACTGCTTTGACCTCATCCACCTGAATGAATACGTTTTGTCCGCCACAGAACGTCCCTTTTTTATTTTGAATTCAGCTGGCACATGCTCAGACACACCTCTTTTTACTCAAACAGATGCAGACACATATCAGAGGGGACGTCTCGCTAAACTTGTGTTATCAATCAGCACCAAGCAGCCCACTGTGATGCTAACCCAGGCGATGAGAATTGATCGTGCACACACACACACACACATTCACTCAGGCACACTTTCCTTTCCTAAATTCAGCAGACTGAAGCTTCATCTGCTAATGATGCCCCAACAGGCCGCCCGAGGCAAGACAACACAGAGAATCAGCATGTGTATGTGGGCATGTGCACGTTTAGAAGAGGGGAGAAATACTCTCCGCATATATCTTCAAAGAATCGAAATCAGATGAAAGGGAGTTCATCTTTCTATACCTTACAAGTTCTCCATTTCAGACACAAATGCAGCCTGTGGTGAAACCAAACTACAAAAATGTAATAAAGCACTGGGAAAAAAACTAAACTCTAAAAGCTATTGATTGCTCCGCTCTTTGCAAATCAACATGCCAAAAGGGCGGAAAAGAAAGTGTGTGCGAAAATTACTGGTTTGTTTTTATGTTCCACCACAAATTGCAGAAATGAAATGAAAGGCATGTGCTGGGTGTAAAATTTTTCGTGTTTGTGACCGAATATATGTGTGAGCTATCAATCCACTAGTAGAATGCTATTTCCCAACCACTAACACGAAGTCAGAAAAAAAAAAAATCTCGCAACATCACAAATAAATACCTCGCACTCTTCACATTTATAAAGTGAGTAGCATGTGAGTCAGTGTCTATTGTATCTTCAAACATGCACATTGGGTTTTGAGGAGACGCCAGACTGAAGAACATCACGTCTGGTTAGTGTTCCATTGGTGCAAACCAAAACACACACACAGATATGATGTTATTTGTTGTTAATGAGTTTGGAGATTTATCCTCATACTTAAAATGCGAATGCACTGTTTGTGAGCAATTTTTTATTTATTTATTTATCATTCGATTCATCCATTTTGTATTATATTTTTTGTCATCTTTATATGCAATTACTGTACTGTATATTGTGTACATTATGCAATTGTTTTTATATAAAGGTAGGTACTAATAATTATTATAGACCAGTAATTAGTCTATAGTAGTAGACTAGTAGATTTAAATTAGAGATTAATTAGTAGAACTAAATTATAACTAAAATCAAATTTTCACAATATTTAATTCACAAAAACAGATCCCACATACTATTACAACCCACATCCAGTGTATCCAGCAGCACACTCTAGGGGAGAAAAGTTAGCTTAGGATTCCAGGGTTACAATGTTGACATTTTCAAGTAAATGTCTTAAAGTGTTGCATATCGAAAGTAGTAGTACTTACTTGTCAAGTTTGATGCGAGCGAGCAGAGGCTCTAGCCAGCCAGTGGTGCATTCACAGTGGGCATCCAGGAAGGTAATCACCTGACCTGTGGATATGGACGCCCCCTTCAACCGAGCGCGAATCAGGCCCGAACGCTGCTCCATCCGTATCACCCTGACAGGAACCTCCAACTTCTGCACATATTGCTCCAACTGCCTCTTCAGGAAGTCTACATGCACAATTATACACTTACGTTCACATAAACACGAATTATATATAGATTATATAGATCAAAATCATAATTTCATTCAATATCCATCAGTGGATGTTTAGCAAAGGGAAAACACTCTAGATGCAAACCACAGACATTAAATACATGTCTTAGCCATGAACTAAGGCACGATCTGCACATTATAAACCTTAGCAGCCTGGCTTATGATTATTAATTAGGTGAGAATATTAATTAGGTGAACATTTATAACTGTTTTGTTGATTACCTCTCTTCAACTCTAATTTGTTCAATAGTCTGCCAATGCCTCCTGTCAGCTGATGGTTTATATTGCCCTTAAAAAGTGTATTTTTTATGTAGCTGCCTACAACTTTTTTTTTTCACTAAACAAAGTGAAGCTCTTGAAATATAACAATTATTGCTCAAAAACTGTGTGATGAGGCATGATCTTTGTCTTGCCAATGTACAGGAAACCTTTCTTTAATAATTTCCTCCCACCTCAATCATAAATCAAGTATTGCTCTACATCAGCATCTGCTGTGGGCGGTTCGGTTCATGCTGCCAAAGACAACACTTTAACATAGCTCTCAGCTCATGCTGAACAACATCCTCAGCTGCAGCAGCCATCTTTAAATACAGATCTAAAGTTACTGCTGTGGGATTCCAATGCTGTCTGTTTTGATCAAATAAGCTCAAAGCCACTGAATGGCCTGACAAGATTATTCAAGCTGTGTTGTTCAGGAAGAATAAAGGTCAGACTGAAACTGTGAAACAATACAGAAGAAGCCTGTGAAACATCAACATTGAGTACCATTTATGTTTAAGATGGAACATATATTTTGTAAGTCACTGGTTCTTAACCTTTTTGACTCAAAGGCCTCTTGTTGTCCAATGCAATATTGTTAACAACATGAGGATAAGTAGATGATGGAATTTTCATGTTAGTGTTAGAGATTTCTTTAATGAAAGCAACAAATAAAATCTGTACGCTGGTCCAAATCTGTCCAAATAAATCTATATACGTATGGCAAACACACCCACAGATCCAATTACAAGCTGTTAAGAGATCAGATGGGAGGACATGTCTGTGCATTAATCTTCACGGCGGGTTTATCTGCTCTCTCATGCTTTATTTGAGGTGTGATATGTGGAACAGAACAGAATGCTCAGAACTACAAAGACAGCAGGAGCAGCAGGGGTTTCTCATGTCAGCGACAAAAGACAAAAGAGTTTCACATTCAGCCAGGAAAGAAAACACTTATTTTCTGTTTTCATGTCATTATCTGGTGATTTGTCTCTATAACTTCTTCACACATACAGACAACCTGAACAATTAAGTTCAGTTCTGCAATATTTCCCACTTTAAGGCACAAATATGTCACATTATGTAAATTAAATGCATTGCAAACTCCATTACATGTTGTTTAAAACAAATCAAATGGACGCTCCACTCAAATGAACACTCATCACGCTCTGCATACACGTGAGTAAATCTATGCATACGTAAATCAATATCCTGCCTTACTCCTCTAATAGTTTAAGTGGAAATAAAAGGTAGGAAGAGAGTGGGCGGAAAGAGAGAGAAGGAGAACGAGAGAGGACATCATTAGAGGACAAAATTGAGTGGCAGGAAGATGAGAGGAAGAATTTGGGTCTTTATATCTCCACAGGAGAGGCGGATTAGCACAGATGAGGGAGGAGGGGGGCTGGGAGCTATTCTTATGCAGGACGTGTCCTGCGCAGTCAATCTATTACTGAATGAACTGGTGCATGTGTGTGTGTGGGTGTGTGGGTGTGACGGAGTGAGAGAAGAAGACATCGATGTGTCTTTTTTTGCATCTGTCAAAATGTTGCAATGGTTAGACAGGAGTGTGTGTTTGTGTTTGTGTACCACACGGGCTTCAATGAAGCTTCAAAGCACTCTTGCATGAACACACTGTCAATCTCTGCAGTCTCTCACCTACAGACTAAATTCTGATGTGGCTACAGTTACTCCAACTGTGCTTTTTCTGTCAGGGCGAACACTTTAATCGACTTGTATAGCTTTTATACTGAGGTAATAATGGTTTCGATACCCTGCTTCTGATCTTAAAGGGATAGTTCACCCAGAAATGTGCTATTATTTAATCACTGTCCTAAAGTAGTGTACTAAACTTCCTGTAGACAACAATACACAGATGCAATATGAACTAACTTGCATACAAAAATAGTACAAGAAATAGTACAAGGCAGACACACATCTATAAAATCTCTAATGAGGAAAACATAGATCTTAGCAGTTACATTCACTATTTACCTTCTGTTACAAACCATACATCAAGAGAAAGAAAGAATCAATACAGTGAAAAAAATACAGAGGACAAAGGGAGAAAAGGGGATAAAGTTTTTTTTCTGTAGCATGTCCTTCAGATAAATAGTGCTCTTCTGAAATTGTAAGGTCAGTGTTTCCAATGAATGAAGGTTTGAAGTTAGCAGATATTCACTGATATAAAACAGCTTTATGTCTCAAACTATTGAACATGTTAAATAAGCTATTCATGTTGCAATAGCCTAGAGCAGGGATTCCCAAAGATTTTTGTCAGTTAAACCACTTAGACCTAAATATTTACTTGAAGTCCCCCTCCCCCAGATATTTAACATTTTATTTCAATAATTTATTAACAATGTGCATATTTATCGTTCTTTGATGTCACATAATGGTCACATGACATGCAGGTAAACAAAATATATATATATTTTTTAAGTATTTTATTTTGATTTTAAAATTATTATTTATTTTAATTTTATATTTTCATTAATTCATTAATTATTAGCTTTTCATCAACTCACAAACCCCTTGCACTCACTCACGAACTCTGGCACGAACGTTTCATCCTCCTCTACTCATCCTATTAAAAAAGTAACAGCAAGTTTCCAAACAGAGTTCGACGTATGTGTTCATATAAGTTTTTGTATGTGTGTTTGTGCCATCACATCACAGTTCTCTCAGCAGTTTCATTGGCTGCTGTTTGTGTTTGTGAGTGAATGGTTACCCAGGAGCTGTACACCCCGAGTTGGGTCACATGGAGCACTCGTGCAGGGCTTTCAGCAGCCATTGCAATAATGCTGGAGGGCAACAGAGTCACACAGAGGTCATGTATGCAGAGGTCAGAGCACTCAGGAGCAGCTGCCAACGAGACCAATGCCAGTGAGAAGCCCGCCGGACACATTTCTACACTCAGCTGAAACGCTTCTGACCTCTCGGGTCACTCGGAGTCAGTGGCGTAACCAGGACTGCAAGTGCAAAAACACTTGGTGTGTCCTTCAACACAGCCTACAAGAATGAACTTAAAGCATGAAAATATATTGCTACGGTCTCAACCCAGTTGATCTTTAAAGGGTCACTTCACTCAAAAAAAAAAAATTCAGTCATCATTTACATCATTTACCCTCATGTCATTCCAAAAATACATGACTTTCTTATTTATTTGAAACATATAAGATGATATTTTGAAAAATGCCTTTTTTATCCATACACTGAAGTAGTGTTGCTTTCGTCAACGAAAATTATGACTAAAAATAGTCGTCAACGAGCCTTTATCAAGTGACGAAAACGTAAAACGAGAGGAGACGAGACGAAAATGCTGGTCATGTGACGATGACGATAATTAAATGTACAATGCAATATTGTTGACAAATAAAAACGAGACGAAATGTGGCTTACAAAATAAAAACTATGCTAAAATGTCTCTTCATTTTCGTTGACCAAAACGAGATGAAACGAAATGTTATAACGTTATTTCGTCTCGTTATTATTATTATTTTGCAGTATTTCTGTTTGATAATAATAGCTTTCTAAGATAAAACATTATTTGGATAATTGGTAAAAAATTTAAAAAAATCTCTTAATAGCCCTACAAAAATACACTGAGTGAGCAAAACTTGATTACCATTAAGGACCGATTTTGTTTTAGTCCTCACTGACTTTCACTCTTGACACTTTCTTTAAAATATCTTATTTTGTGTTTCACAAAAGAAAGCAAGTAATACACATTTAAAACAACATGATAGTAATTTCTGAGTAAATTTTGGGTGTACTTTAGGCTTTTCATAAAATTTAATTGTTTTGGATGTCTCTCCAGAAATTTGACAAAATAATTATATTTATTCAGTTTGCTTATTCCTAAAGACCGTGCTTTCTTAAATACAATTAAATTAAAATTAAACAAATAAATTGTACCATGTAATCACGTAGACAGATCAATTTATAATTTGTGACCGTGGACCACAAAACCAGTCTTAAGTGTAAATTTTTCAAAATTGAGATTTATATCTTTATAGAGAATTAATAAGCTTTCTATTGATGTATGGTTTGTTAGGATGGGACAATATTTGGCCGAGATACAACTATTTGAAAATCTGGAATCTGAGGGTGCAAAAAAATCTAAATACTGAGAAAATCACCTTCAAAGTTGTCCAAATGAAGTTCTTAGCAATGCATATTACTAATCAAAACTGAAGTATACAAAATATCTTCATAGAACATGATCTTTACTTAATATCCTAATGATTTTTGGCATAAAAGAAAAATCAATCATTTTGACCCATTCAATGTATTTTTGGCTATTGCTACAAATATACCCCAGAGACTGGTTTTGTGGTCCAGGGTCACATTTATTGTCCGTTTCTTTTTTATCTCATCTTATCTCCAAGTTCTTTGTTAGAGTTTAAAAATCAACAGGAAACTACATGTTACCCTGATCCATCACAAAGCTTCACTGTTGCTTCATGGCATTCTACCACAAAATACATGACAAAATGCTGGACATCAGCATTATCACTCACTGTCTTTGTTTCACTATACTATCATAAATGTTCAGTGTTTTTGGTCGTGTCACTGCCTCAACACTCGGCACTCACATCAACACGAGGAGAGACGGCGGCTGTGCAGTGACGGAGAAAATGATTCAGGGCTATGGAAAAAAAAAAAATGTCAGTAGAATCAAGTGCAGGTCTGTCTACACCTGGATTGAATAATTACTCTAATAAGTACGACACCAGCTAAATCAGATTTTCCAGGATTCACTGCAGAGCAGGAGAAATGCATATGATAATTTGATTTGTCGTTTGAAATTAGTCATTTTGACATTTTAATGAGTTTTAGAGTAAGGTGTTAGGCTCAATAGACTAATGTATATATCATTTAGAATTATAATAAAATTTAAACCACACCAGATGAGATGCACAGTATATGAGAGAGCTAGAAATATGTAGAAGCTTTTCTTTATCACAATTAGTTAATAGCTCTCGAGTGGTTCTAATAGGTCTAATAATGATTTGCATATTCAAAGATAGGGATGCACTGGCAATAAAATTCTGGCCAATACCAACAAGGCGATAATTATTTTCATGTTATGGCCAATAACTGATAAATGGCAGATATTCAATTCTATTTAGCATTTTGTAAAAAGCAAAAAAAAATGTCTAAAAAGAACTAGAAATAAAACAGAAAAATCTAAATAAACAGTTTTAAATGCTATATTATAACATACATTGATATTCATCATTTAGAGATTTGTAAAAGATTTTATTAGTTATTCAATTTTTTTTCATTTTTTAAGTGAGCGATGATATCAAAAGTAACCTAAATGTAAAAACAGAGAGGAGCATGTACAATTAAATATCTGATATCAGCCTAAATGTATCCAATATTAACTGATATCAATACATAAAAAAAAAAACTTATATTGGCTGATAATCGATATGGTACCAATATAAAGTGGATCCCTATGCTAAAAATGCTGGTGGTTTTCACAGGACCCCCACTTTTAACATTAGTGTATATGTGAGTGAGTGTGTGTGTGTGTGTGTGTGTGTATGTGTGGGCTAAAGACAATATAATTTCAGGTATGTATTAATTACACCTACTAATCCACTAACCCCATAATCTAGCCAAATTACAGGTTAGTGCTGCAGATAACGATAAAGAGACTAGAGCCGCAAACCCACACAGCAGTAGACACACAATAGAGCTAGTCAGAGACGTCAGGCTTAACAAACACACACTCTCTCTCTGTATAAATCTGTCTTAAACACGCTCGCTTTCCAGTGCCTAAATCACATTTCATTATTGACGTTAATAAGCAACAAGGTCACCAACCATCTTTTTCCTCCTGATGTGTTCTGTTCCCTTTCACCGCACACAAACACACACATACACACACAGTGAAAGCAGAGCTGACATGAGACAGGCATTTTCAAAAGAGTGGAAACAAAACCATGTCATTATCTTCGGAGCGCTGCAGTACAATATCCTCATTTTAACTTCGAGATCTGTGTTGGAGCATTTATTTGTGTACGCGAGAGATTTCTGTGCCATCAATTCTCTCCTCTCAGCATTTAACACCACACACATCTGTCAGAATGACGGGTATGTTATTGATCTAACTGTGAACAATTCATCCAAGATTCATAATCAAATTGTCATAACTTGCAACGTGCAAAAAAAATCTAAATATTGAGGAAATCGCCTTTAAATTTGTCCAAATTAAGTTCTTAGCAATGCATATTACTAATAAAAAATGACGTTTTAATATATTTAAAGTAGGAAATTTACAAAATATCTTCATGGCGCATGATCTTTACTTAATGTCCTAATGCTTTTTGGCATAAAAGAAAAATCTATCATTTTGACCCACACAATGTATTTTTGGCTATTGCTACAAATATACCCCAGAGACTTAAGATTGGTTTTGTGATCCAGGGTCACATATATCCTATAGACTACTAGTATAGTTAATTTTTTATAATTTGGAGCCCCATCCACTATCATTGTATAGAAAAGAGCAGCATGAACGTTCTTCAAAATGTCTAATTTTCTGTTCCAAAGAAGACAGTCAGTCATACAGGCTTTTAACAACATGAGGGTGAATAAATGATGACAGAATGTTTGGGTGAACTGTCACTTTAACAAACAAGAAAATGCTTCACCAAACACACACACACATTCTTCCTTACATGGTGGGAACTTTTCAATGACCTCACAAAAACATTTTTATATTTTCATTAAGACATGTTTCCAAAGTTGTTAAACTTATGACCCTTGGCTCTCCACAGTGTAGGTGATTTCAGGTTCTATTATCCTTGTGGAAACATTTGGTCCCCAAACCTAGTGCACACACTCACCTCTCTCACTGGCGTCATCCACCAGCACGATTTCCTCTAGCAGGTGTCTCGGTGACCTGTCGATGACGCTGTGGACCGTTCGGAGCAAAGTGGTCCACGCTTCATTATGGAACACAATCACCACACTGGTGCGTGGGAGATCGTCTAGATACACTTTTGTTTTACACCTGCAAAACACAAAACTAGGCAATGAGAATGGACAAAACTTGCAGACAATCAAGATAAAGAGCTACAGTACATTCTTCTAAACTCTCTTCCCTCCTGAGCACACAAATGAACAGACCGCACAGGGTCTGAAGAGCTGCAGAGAGCTCTGTCTGAGACGAGAGGAGATTAGCACTTATCAGAAACACACAGACCGTTATGAAGACATGGTGAGTGGAGAGCTGCTGGAGAGACAGTGAATGCGTCTCATCTTGTGTGAGGAGCTCTAAAAACAGATGACACTGGAATAAATGATGACAGAGAGTCTGAATGAATGTTTGTGATTTTGGCAGGTTTGGTCACACCTTACGGTATGGTGTGATATTCAGTGTGAATGAGTTAAGCATTAGTATTCACCAACAGAAACAAGAAAGAGATTTAATATTGCCGTTATTAGCACTTCTATCTAGTCTTTATCTTTAGCTCATTCCTCTTAAAGGAACAGTTCATCTAAAAATATGTCTAAACACAACAGAAGCATAGAAGAATGTTGATGCTTTCATACAATGAAAATAAATGGGCCATGTGACGTCAATGATGACAATGTGATTGGTTCTTCTGTCTTATAAACTATCGTGACACACCAAATTTGAATATGAGCATGTTTAAGTTGCACAAATAAAAAGGAAAACATATTCAGGAAATGATTCAGGACTTCAAATTTCAGATGGTTTTTGGGTGAACTATATGGAGCCCCTAAAGGGACACGATGATGGAAAATATTAAGAGATGGGAAGAATGCTTATTGCATATCAACATGAAAGCATAAACTGCTTTTGCGTATGCTCACAAAAGTTTTGCGTTTCCCAAAAAAACTTCGCATTTACTTACATAACCTTTGCATTCCCTCACAAAACTTTTGCATTGCACGAAAAACCTTCTCCCAAAAAACTTTGCATTCGCTTTCAAAAATTTTCTCAGGGGAACTAAAGAACATTTGAAATACGATTTTTCCTCCATCTAATTTTTTTTCCCATCACTATGTCCCTTTAGGGGCACCACCGAACTATTCCTTTAAGTTCTGTTAAATTAAGGTCACTTCATTTAACCATGTTTTGTTAATTTCATTGTTAGATACTTTCTCAGTAGTTATTCCATTGTATTTTATTTGTTGTTGGAAATGCTCTGACAATAAGATTGTTTTTCATTCCAATAAAACACACAATGAATTTAATAGAAGAGAGAGAAAGAGAGATTTCAGTCTTTCTTGGATTCCAGAATACGGACTGAATTGTTGATTATGTAAGCGCAGGTCACTGTGCCAATCTATGCTGTGGTAGGAACAGGAAAGCCAGTGTTTGTTGTATCTGGAGAGCTAATTTCCTGTTTGCCCAAGCACAGCTGGGGGATTTTGGCCTGCGATCACCCAAAAAGACAAAACATCAAGCACCAAACCACATTCAGAAGCAAAATATAACTACAATGCTCGAAATTAATAATAATAACTCACACAAAAAACAACAACACTAAAACATTAAAAGAGAGACAAAAGCAGCAAGACACCTTTCGACCTATTTGCTATCACACACACACTTAATTAAATGAGGTTTGTCGCCCATCATGTCCCTTCACTGTGGTAACACAGAACCTCCCGGCCCCATCTTTCTTAAACTCGTCATCTGGAAACACACAGACTGCTCTTTTTAAATTCATTAACCTGATGTCAACTCTCAGGACCCCAGACAACGGTTTAATTTGCAGCCGAGGCGTCTCATTGGTCAGCCCTGCTACCTGCTTGATTAAAAGGAAGCACAGATTTCGCTCTCATTCCTTGGTGTCCGTTCTCCTAGATTTTCTGTCTCTCTATAAAAAATCGATTTTGTAAAGCAGAGAGATCATGCATCCCTTCCCTCCAATCAGCACAGACAGCATCAAAGTGTGAGTGAGCTGAGTGGGTGAGGTAGCATATATCTGGCCATGGCTTTATATGTGTGTGTGTGTGTGTGTGCATGTGTCTAAGAGCAAAGGCTAAATCAGCCTAAAATAGCTGCGACAATGTGGAAACGAATGGCTGATCAAAAGATGGAAGGAATCAAAGATGAAACACACACATGCTCGCACAAACCCTTAGAGACACTAGACAAGCACAAAATCACATTTCTCAGACCCTAGGAATAATTGGATATATTTGGTGCAATCAGAGAGATACAAAAACAGCCGTAGGTCTGTAGAACTCTTCCATCACACACAGACAAACATACACCCATTATTATACAGGATTTTTTTATCAGACTCCTCAGGCTAAATCTGAGAGATGCAGTGGAAGAAAAATGTGAGCTGTAGTTATTCAGTCATTTACAGGACATCCTACTAGACTGAGTTAGTCCAATGATGCAGCTCACTGCGATTTTACACACATTTTTGGCTGTTTGTGTTTTGGAGGAATATTTGAGGACAGCCTTTCTCTTTTACTTTTCCTCTCCCTCTAAAGCAGAGATAACAGTCAGAGGACACACAGGACCGGTTAGTCATCAGTTCTCAAAGTCATCGTAATCTCAAACAAACACATGCCAAATCCAAATCTCTCTGACCAGCGCCTTCATCATATCAAAGAACAGAATCAAAACAGCAAATGAAAATACAAAAACAATCAGCTGCTGTCATGGCTGGCTACATAATCCAAAACAGACTACAAAGGGCAATTGTGGATTAATGTCCACACTGGACTAATTTTTATGTTTCTATTTGGTCAAAACTTTTGGTTTTTGTTTAAGGCAGCTGAAACAAACTTTCAATCGGTTGTGAAGCCACATTTTTACCCACAGACCTCTCATGTTTCTGTCAGCATTTTTTAAGAAACTGATATTAAATTGATTAAAAGTGACAGCAAAGACTTTCACATTGTTATAAATTTATATTTATATAAATGCATTTAAATAAATGTTGTTCTTTACAAATTTTTATTCACAAAAGAATCCTGAAAAAAATGCATCACCGTTTCAACATTGATAATAATAATAATAAATGATACTTGAGCATCAAATCAGCATATTACAGTAGCATGATTTCTAAAGGATCATGTGACACAGGAATAAATTACACAAATTACACAGGAATAAATTACATTTGAAAATATATTAAAATAGAAACAGCTATTTAAATTGTAGTAATATTTGACAATACTACAGTTTACTGTATTTTTCATCAAATAAATACAGCCTTGGTGAGCCTTATTTTTTAAATAAATATATACTTTTATATATATATATATATATATATATAAAATGTACCAACCCCAAACTTTTCAATGGTACTAGACAAGAATTGATAACTGATATTAATAATAACACTGCCTTTTCTCACATGATTTTGTCTGCATTTTGCATTGTCTCCAAAACTATTATATAAAGTGAAAATTATTTATACATAAATCAAGCTCATATTTCATTGTATTTATTTATTATTCACTCTGCACAGTCAATTATTTTCTCATCCAATGTTTTTAGAAGGCATGTCTCTCTTGACTTCTCAGAAACTTTTTTTTTATCATGCCAATAAAAGCTACCTGAATCTGAGGGAAAGTAAAAAAGACATAAAAAGAAAGACTGTCAAACTGTAAAAGAAATATTGTGTTACCGTACCACAGTACAGCTATCAGCATCACACACACACACACACACACACACACACACACACACACACACACAAAGAGTTCCCTCCCAGACAGCAGGAATGCAGTGAAGGAGAAAAGGTCAGTATTGTTCCCAGCTGTGAGCTGTTCCCTTTATGTGACACACAACTATAAAAACAGTGTGTGTTGGCGTGTTTGTGTAAATCTATGAATGTGAGTTTACAGTCTTGACCATATGCTTTTAATGATTCTGCGCAACTTGCTAATTACAGAAATACAAGCCAAAAACATTTTGCTTGCCACACTGGGGAGGCAAACCAAAAACTCGCAAACAGAGACAAAAGAAACAAGAATAAAAAAAGGCAAAATGAGAAATTAAGCAATGTATAATTTAGCTGACGAATCTCACAGTGATTATGTTAATCACATAGTAAAACTGTACGCCGAACAGCCAATCAGGTAATCAAGCACACTTCTGAACAGCTAATCATGTTATGGGGATCATATTCTACAGCAGGGATGTTCAATTAATGATCCAAAAGGTCAAGCCTCTGCATTTCCTTCCCAGTGGAGGTCTTCATACAGAGGACACTAGTTTTTTGGAACAGTTATTAATTTCCTTGTGGACAACAGTAGTACTTCGTAAAAGTAAGTGTAAAAGTACTTGTCCAAACAGTCATCAAAGATATTGGGGTCAAAACAGCGGTGTCTGAAAATATTCCCATTAAAAATGTTTAAAATATTTCGGCAGTTGAGCTGATGAATTAGATATGATTATTAAGATCAGCTGGTTAATTAGACTAGTAGTCTATTGTTATTGAACCCCCTTGCAGCATTCTCATTTTCTACAGTGTTCTAACAACAGTAGCAATCTCTCACCACCGTTTCCACGCTACTGTTGTTAAAATAACTCGGTCATCTGACTGAAGCTCTTTTTAATCAGTAACAAGGTGCTTTACATCTTCAGCAGCGAGAGAAACAATGCACATGCAGCAGAAATGGGGTAAAAGAAGTGCGTCTGAAGCTAGTTAAAAATATAAGAGGAGACAGCAGCCAAAGATCATTACCACCAACAACACTGAGCACTTGTGATGTGTACTGCTCTGTTGTCTTGACATACTGCTTAATGAAACTGTTAAAACCGCAATGGTGCAACTGTTGTCTCACGCAACTGGAACCAGACCAGTCAATCTTGTTTGATATTTAGTTTCATTATTAATATAATTATTTTAATTTTTAGCTTAGTTTAATTATTAAAGGGGTCTTATGATGCGATTTCTATTTTTCCTTTTCTTTAGTGTGTTATGTAGCTATTTGTGCTATGTATATGCATAAGATCTGCAGTTACAAAGCTCAAAGTCTCCCACAAAAGGATTTATTCTATCTAAAAGA